TCTTCTCTAAAATCGTACTAGTTCTCTTTAGTGGAACAATTATTTAAATTCAGATTAATGAAATGAGAAATCTCACTCATATATACATATATTTCTTGGGAATAATTCTTGGAAAATATCCTAAAATCTTTGATTTTGGGTCTTAAATCGTTTAAAAAATGAAAAATTGATATCGTAAAAAAGAGTTTAAGGACACGTCTATAAATGATGGATTAATGATTTAAGCCAACTAACCTCGACTTCTTCTTCCTTTGACTTTCTAGTCTCCTCACCTAAAAGAAGTGTTTTTGTAATTTGTATGTCGAATAAATGTAATGTCGTCGCCGTACCTTTGACTTTTTTTTGTCAATAGGAACCACATTTTAGTTTCAACAATATTTATGAGGTCAGTTGTGAAGATAGCTTTCAACAATGTATAATTATTTTTTCCTACCAATCCACTTCAAAGACCAAATCATAAAGAAAACAATATTCTACCTAAAGTTGAAAATGAGGAATAATGATTGATCATTCAGTTAATGTTTATTACTTGCTTGATGATTACTTTAATCCCATTAATTTTATAACAAGGCCCATATACTCTTTAATGGGCCTGGTCTTTGCATGTATGGGTCCGAGAAATGATTCCAGCCTTTAAGTAGAGGCAATCTTCAAGTAATACAAAAACTTGAAGAAAATGAGCATTGCGTCTTCTTCCATCTCATGCTTTGCCTCCAAGAAGACAAGACCTCTATTTGAACAGAATCTGCCTTGTTCAATTGCTTCATGCAACCTTCAACGTTATCTATATATATGTTTAGACTTTTTAGGTTTCTCTGTTTTGTATATAACAATTCCTTCTTCGAAACATGTCATCGAGTCTGCCAGTAACGCGGACTGATGGTGCACCAAATGGAGCATTTAGGACTTTTGGGCTCTACTGGTGCTATTATTGTCATCGTACGGTCAGGATTGCATCCTCTAACCCATCAGAGATCGCATGCCCTCGATGCTTGAGGCAATTTGTTGTCGAGATTGAGATGAGAAGGCCTCGAATTGCCTTCTATCACGTCACGCCGCCTTTTGATACTTCTCCTGAGGCTCGTCTCCTCGAAGCTCTATCGCTCATGTTTGATCCTCCAATCAGAGGTGGGTTTGGTGCTGATCCATTTCTCAGGGCAAGATCCAGAAACATGGAACCCCAACCAAGACCTCGGCCGCTTCATCGACGACGGCACAGCCTTGATAATGATAACAATGGCGGTTTACCTCCACCAAGAAGAACATATGTAATGTTCCGGCCCACTGATCTGACTACTCCACTTGGAAACATGATCCAGCCGCCAAATCTAACAGCACCACCCCGGCGTGTGAACCCACACGATTTCTTTACTGGAGCATCAGGCTTGGAGGAGCTGATCGAACAGCTAACACAAGATGATAGGCCTGGACCCCCACCTGCAACAGAACCCACCATTGATGCGCTGCCAACCGTGAAGATTACTCAACAACATCTAGCCAACGACATGTCCCAGTGCACAGTGTGCATGGAGGATTTCATTGTTGGCGGGGAAGCTAAGGAGCTACCATGTAAACATATCTACCATAACGATTGTATAATCCCCTGGCTCAGGCTTCACAACTCCTGCCCTATCTGCCGCCGTGACCTGCCACCTGTCGACACCATTTCTGATTCTCAGGAAAGGGGGGATTCCGTCAGAGAAGAAGTAGCTGAAAGAAGGCGCCCGAGGTGGATGCAGCTCGGGAACATGTGGCCTTTTAGGGCAAGGTACCAAAGGGTTAGTCCAGAAGAAACAGCACAGCGGAATCCTCGAGGTAACCGGAGCTAAGACTGAATGTTCCATCTGCAACAATCTCTCTGACTGTGGAAGTCTCCACGAACCAAGATATATAAATAGTGACAACCTATCGCCAAGGAACATATGTATCTACATTTGAATATGCCTGTATATATCAGAAATAAACTCAAGCTAAAAGTTTCATGCTATGGCTTTAACATTGTTTCCTTCTTCTGAGCTTATAGACATACAATAACTACTATAGAAAGTCCTACCTCAGAGTAGTCATCAGAGTACATGAACAGAGATTAGTAGAGGGAAAAGACAGTAGCCAAACTGAACTTATCTCCTAATTCTTCCTGCAGTTCAGTCGCTACATGTAGAAAAGTAGAATGTGAATACATAAGCTTTAAAATGAATAAGAAACCATTGACAACAAACCAATTCAAATTCAACCATAAACACTACCAAAGCCCTAAAACTTGGTAAAGCTTCTGAAAGATATATGGAAACTGGCTTCAACTAGATTAACGCAATCGAAATATAGTCAATAGATTCTACAAACATCAAATGGAAGTAACCATTCCAAAAGAGCGTAATATCAAAGCTACTGACGAGATGAGAAAACAAACACTCTATTTACAGTAGCGATCGGCTTTCTTCTTGACGCGATCGTCGAGAGCTTTTTCCACGGAATCGAAATTTGCTTTCGGAATATAACCAAACTTCTTAGCCTCCACTGGAAATAGCTCATCGTACTTCCTCTTCTTCGCCGCATCGATTGAGTAGATATCGTCTCCACCAGCGGCGGAAGAGGCTGAGCCGTCGGGAGGCAACTTCGCTTCTACTTCTGCGTGAGATCCGGCCTCGACGCCGACTTCAAGCTTATCCTTG